GCTCGGCAGTACCATAACTTTAGCGGTTCCAATTTCCTATATGTGGCTAGTAACGGTGAATTATGGGACAATCGTTTAAAATGAATCACCGTTATCCAGTCATTCGTATGAGCCATATAAGTACACCGGCACTACCACAATGACAGTTTTGCTACCCGAGTCGGTACCAATCTCTGCTGTGGCCCAGGGGCTAAAGAACCTCGCCATGACCAGTGTTCACACGTTCTCTTCCTAAACAAAGAAAACGTATTCCTGCCCGAGCCACGCCGTCTCGGGCAGTTAACTCACGGCGAGAAACGGTCGCCCTATAGGTCGCGCTACATGGGCAGGCATCCGTCTCCAACCCTCTCTCTGCAGGGAATTCTTCTCGACTCCGGCTCAGCGCTTTTGAAGTGGAACTATAACCACAACGCCTGCACGTGAGCTCGACGTGATAGACTTGGACGCATGGCCCCGCCACTCCCCCCCCCCGCCCCCTCCTGTGCTTCATGCGTTCATACCCGTGGGGGAATTGCGAACTCATTCCAATTAGCCCCGTATGCGAAAACGGCATTGAACAAGACCCAGAGAAGCAAGCGAGCACTTACTGCGGCATTGACATTTCCTAAACCCTCATCGTTCACCTCTGGATAGTGGTGGCGTTCGGCATAAGCAGCAAACTAAGCAACAGGTTCGGGCCCCTAGCAATACAAGAGGTCCTCCCGGATTCAGAAAAATGCAGGGATGCTCCAAATTTCAACTCGAATTCAGATCGAGGGTAAAGGTGCAGCCCTGAAATGTCTTGCCCACGTCACTACTGGCGGAAGGGCCTCCATCAGAGGGAGCTCTGGAGAGCGCCTACTCTTCCACGTTGGCCAGATGTCTTGGAATATGTGGGAGTACCTACACTTTACCCTACCATACGAGTTTCCCCCTCCCACTTTTCCGCTCCACAGGCCAGGCAGTTTACAAGACGCACATAAAGGTCCCCTTGTAGAGGTATCCAGAGGGAATGTTGATTTTATAGCCCATGCGCCTGTGCTGAAATACTTTAGTTTTATTTTATTATTAGAGAGAATTATATAGCGCGTGGGCTGAAATCCGGTAAATGCACCGTGACTAAAGATGGGGTTTGTAAACGTATTAAACTCAATTCATAAAATTAAACTTTGAGAAACTAAGTCTTCCTAACAAATCACAATACACTGCTAACGGCTTTTGGAGGAGCTCACCTAGTTTTGCAGAGTTTGTTATTGCTGTTCCTGAGATAAAAAGACAAACATCTCTCTTGCAGCCCAATAGACCGTTGGTATCACTTATTTACACACCACACTAGATACTCATTTGAGACTGAGTTGACCTAGGGAAGGCCCAGGACTGGTTCAGATAATCGCCACTGGTGTTGGCCGTGCGCGGGAATCGAACTCGGGTCACCAGGCTCGTAGCGCAGCACGATCCCCAAATGCACACAGACCTACACAATGGCATGCTGTTAATACATATAAGTAACTCACCTTAGTGGACTCAAAATTGTCCCTACATTTATTTAAATAAGTTGATTATGTGTCGTGGATTTTCTTCCACACTCGTTTGTGTAATTGGCCAAATAATCCATTGCAAGATCCTTCTGAAAGATGATTGCGACTCAGTGAGGCTTCTCTGGGTACATCTATATTACAGTGCACTGCGCTCTGAACCTGGCGACCTGAATTTGATTCCCAGTCACGGCTAATAGCGGTAGAGGAGTGAGTTCTGAACCGGTCCTCTGCATTCCCGCTTGACCAACCCATACCGGCCAGGTTGGTGAAGTATGGAAAAACAACATTCATGAGCGACTTAGCAAGGGGAAGGCCTTCATCAAGCGGGGGATTCACAATGGGCTTTAAATTTTAATTTTTCAAATGTGGCATCTTTTTTTTATAATCCGCAGTATTATTTCGGATACCGCCTACAAGTTAATTCTGCTATGAACTGCACTTGACAGTGGTATTTGAAACGGCTAAGTTATTTAAACTTCTGCCACCACCTGTGACATTTTGCAATTACAATGAGTGAGCTCCCCCAAAAGCCGTTAGCAGTGTCTTATGATTGTTCGGAGGACTTTGTTTCTCAAAGTTAAATTTTGTCCACTCAGCCCAATCCCTATTTTGTGCTGTCTTCATCCCAGTCTCCAGCGCCTCAGCATCCCTAAGTCTCCTTCCCACCCCGTGCTCCAGAACTTTTCAAGCAGCGCCCTTCTCGAGACCTCTTAGATTTGTTTTGGCACAAACCGAGCACATCTGCAGAACTCGTGCCAAGTCAAACGCTGCGAGGAAATACGACATTCATACGCATGCACGGTGCACACGTGTGCACGAGTGATTGCATGTTGGCACACATGGCAACCGCGCTGGCACCCATGTCCCATCATCACTAGGCTATGATGCATGGCCACGTAGCTCGCACAAGTGTGCCCACATCCTTGGCACACGCGTTACACTATTGCCATGCACTGTGCCAACAGCACTCGTACACGTGTGCCAACTTTGCTGGCAAACGTGTGCCAACTTTGCTGGCAAACGTGTGCCCACATAGCTGGAACGTTACTGGGACAAGTGTGGCCACAGTGCTGGCACACAAAATACATGCTCAGCCACATACTTTGTGCCAGTTATGAGCACACTTACTGGCACATGTGATGCAGCGCTTTGAAGGGGAGGGTTGGTGGATCACGTGGTTCACATACCTGTGAAACTCCACTACCCGATGCGAAGTGGCCAGGATATGGCGGAACAGCAAGTGGATTAAATCAATGTGTGGAGTTTTGTTTTCCCCCTATGGTAGATTATATCCTCCCACGATACTTATTAATGCACAAACCTCCGCACAAGATGGGCTCAATATACTCGCTGTACTATCACCTGGGACCCCAGGAGGTTTCGGAATTTAATGGATCTATGTAATCCACCAATGCTCGGCTCCAGCTTCCACACGCCTGAATCGTTCAATTCTCAAAACTTCATTGCTCATGTTGCCCATCCTAATTATGTTCAACATCCCGTACCAGTATTTTGTCTTTGTTAGCCTCCATTGTCATTAATATTGCCCATCTCATTCGACGCCCTATGCCGAGCTTGATGACCTGCCCAAGTCTATTTCAGTTTGTTTCCCTTTGTAAATGGCACCTGTAATCTTCGTTTTAGTTCTCCAATCTTCATTTATAATTTAGAATTCTGCTGGAGCCCATGTGGTGAAAACGGCAGCGAACACAAGCACATGCCAGAGTTGCTCATCGCACCGGTATGAACGAATCAAAATCTGCTGACGGGGGAATCGGATAATTTGCGTGTTCCGAGCCATTCATTCACCAGGGATTTTACTACACCCAGAAAAACATCACAGCACAGATTGTTTTTGCAGCCCTTTGTCAATACTACCGCTGAAGGACTCCGCATGCCATGGCGCTCGAGAGTTGTTTGACTAGTGTGGGTTGGTGAAATGTGGGTGCTCAAGAGCAGGTCAAAAGTTACTCGCCACCTACGTTAGTTGCGAATGGGAATCGGATTCAGGACCTCAGATTCATATCTCAGTGTGTGAACCACCGCTGATCCACCCACCAAAGCCTTGAGAGTATAATTGATGATATACAGGCTGTTCAAATCTCTCTTAATCAAGGTCGTTAGTGCGAGACGTTGTAGAGATGTTTGACAGTGTTATTGCACTTGGACGTGTGCGTCAGTGTTTTGTGGGGGGTGGTTTTGGGGTGCAACAATTTAAAAACGAAATGCATTAATTTCACACCTCAAGAGAGACTTGGTGCATTCATCGTGGATTAGAAGAATCGCTATTAATAAACAAAACTCATGCACTGTCAACACGATAACAACCATGACCACATCAAGAGTCGTGCATTTTAAGTGACCGGACGTGACCACAACTTGATACATGTCGGGTCACCTTTACCAGTGCAAACCGTTCGTAAAAGCATCATTAAAGGAGACGGGTTTTAAAAATCTCTTTTACAGAGCACGTTGTTGATGTCTGCGGAGCATCTGGGTGGTCTCAGATCCTCCCGGGGTCTTGCAGGCAACGCAAACGTGTGGGGCTTTTTCCCCCCTTCAATATTCTTACAGAGCCACTCGGTGCGAAGAGAAGTCCTTAGACATGCATTGGCTTTGGCAAAGAAAAACAATCGGTGGACGATACCAGACAGTTCACATTCCAGGGGTGATTTTAGAATATGGAGAAAAAAAATTACGAAGAGATTCAGTAAAAATGGTATCTAGACTCTGTGACAGACTTCAATCTTGGAAGCAAAGCAGGCTCTGAGCCTGGTAAGCACTTGGGACTTGAGATGTCTTAAAACATTCATTGGCTTTCGCAAAGAAGACAACTGCCGATGGTGCCAGACAGTTCAACATACCAGGGGTTAAATTTCGATTTAAAGCTTTCGTGACTGCAGGGATTCATCTTCTTGGTTCTTTCGGTAAAGTCACGTAGAATGGAAATAAAAAAGAAAGTTTTATTTTTATTAATTTATTATTTCCATTCTACGTGACTTTACCGAAAGAACCAAGAAGATGATACCAGGGGTTGTTGTAAAATTCTAAGATTGTACAAAATGGTAATCCGTAAAGTGTCATTTAAATTATGTGAACTTGTCCCATCTTGGAAGCTAAGCAGTTTGAGCCTGGATTGCGTTTGGATGGGTGACCACCACCCAGATACTGTAGCCATGGCGTTGCGAGGTGTAACCTGGAGATGGCAGTGCTGAGTGTCATTCCCCACTGTGTGTGGTGCTGGGGCTGATCTGGGTTCTCCAGTTTCCTTCCAAATGAAATCAAACACACACTGATAGAATTCGCCAATAATCCCAATGAAAGACCCTCCTGGAAACAAGTCTTGAGACTCGATGAGGATGTCCGGGAAAAATGGCATCATGATGTACTAAATCCTGAAGTCCCCACCTTAGTATATGGATATTGAAACTACAGTAATTAGCGCTATGATATTTGGGTTTCCAAATTGAAGGACAAACATGATCATCTGCATTAACTTTTAATATATGATTGTCAAATTGTTTGATCACCTAAAAGCAAATGTATATTTTTCAAATTCACGATGAATGTAATAAAAGGTACAATTTGTTAAATGTGATGTACATCAAAACAACACTTATAAAGTGCACAGCAATTATTCAAGCTGCAATCGGTTTACACTTTTAAATATTATATTTCAAGTTCATCATGATATAAAGGTCCAGTGTTGTTATTATGGTGCAGAGATGTGGGCACCGAGGATGGCATAAGAAAGATGAGGGCTTGAAAGGGCAGAGATGAGGATGCTGAGATTGAAGTTGGGAATACCTCAAGGGAAATGAGGAGTTAAGAATTTAGAGTCTTAGCAGGGGTTACAAATATTCTGAAGGTGAAGTAGGCAAGATGTAAATGGTTTGGAAATTCGCTGAGAAGAGACAGAGAAGATAAAAATAAGATGCAATTACCGTATTTTCTGCCATATAACCCGCGGGGTAGACCACTTTTTACAAACAAAACAAGACACTGTGGGGTATATGGAGGTGCAGGCTATCCCAAAAATATTTTACACGTGTGACATGTCATAACTCGTTAAATTGTTTCATGGTAGGAATATCCACTATGCAACACTTACCTTTGACTAAAGCACTGCTGAATAAACCACTCACACTAAAATTGCACATGTTATCACGTTTTAAATTGTTTGTACAATTAAACGACAATGTTTGAAGTGCGCGCGCATTGTTTACTGGCGACGGGAGAGCTGGGAGGAGAGGTGGGGGTGGGGGCGAGGCAACGGCGTTACCGTAGTGCCGCTATTGTCTGCGCAGTGCGCAATCTACCAGTGCTAAAACTGTACTTACGTATCTACCAAGTTACGTGTTACTTATTTATTGGATATTTACTTTTGTTACTTATTTACTGTTTTAAGTTCACTCGTTTCCGGTTGGTTTGTTTTCTTTGTGCACGTTATGATTAAAATTTTAACAATTGATAGTGGAATGTATTACAAATTAATATGATGGAGTTAAGCTGCGGTAACGACGTTAAATATATGAATGCATGCGGGGTATATGGAGGTGCGGGCTATCTAAATTTTGTTTTACATAAAACGTTATTTTTGCGGGGTATATGCGTCTGCGGGTTATATGCGTCTGCGGGTTATATGTGTATGAGGGCTATATGCGGGAAAATACGGTAGTTACGACCAGTGCAGGGCATAAGGAGCAGTCAGCCTGCCTTGCAATAATACATGTTATATCGGTGGTAAAAAGTTGCATGATGTGATTTGTCAAAGGCCAATAGGCTTGCATCCTAGTTACGCTTGAGGGCCTTCCCGCTCCCAGAAGCGAAACGCACGGCAAGCGGCACGGCCAGCATCGCGATTATAGGCACCAGCGTGCTCTTCGCAAAGCACAGCAGGTAGAAGATGGCGGGCGAGGCGCCCGGCAGCCGGACCCACTCGGCCGCGTGCAAGATGCCCAGCGAGGCCGCGGCGCAGGCGAGACGGCTGCGGCACGAGCCGGGGGCGGGGACGGCGCCGGGCCACGCCGCCAGGCCCAGGCCCAGGCACGCACCCGAGTCACGCATGAGAGAGGCGAGCGGCGTGGTGTCGAGCCGTACCCACTCGCGCCGCATGCACCACCGCTCCGCCAGCTGCACCGACCTGCGCAGGCGTGCCCCACACGTGTTGGATTAACGACGACTGCCACGTGCGCCACCGATGTCACGGTCTCCATGTGCTTGTGACATCAGTAATTAGCTGCGTACTGAGTTTCTCTCCCAATCCTCCAACCCTAACTATATTGAGTGCACTAGCAGTTGGTGTAAAACTAAGGTCATGCTTAAAGTATTTATGTGTTTCTTTTCATTCGTATACTAAGCTTCTAAAGTTTAAATGAAAAAAAATACAAAAAAACACATTTTGCTATTTGAAATTAAGTTACAAATTTATTATGAAATGTCTTGCTAATTAGTCATAAAAGTTTGGGGTTATAAATGTATTTGACTTTCCAATGCATCGCATAATAACGTTTTATGAGCATTTTACATAGTTGCAGTTGCTACGCTTCCACAACGATAATAAATGGGACCCAAGCTAATGCTTCAGGAGTCATGTGGGATTGTGTGGAAGCATGGTCCCTGTATGGGGGATATGTGCAATGTGAATAGTGAATCTGCGAGTATTCACCAGTTCATGTTGAATCCCAGGAACTGCATTCCGTAGAACATGGCGAAGGCAATGCCTAAAAGGCTGAGAGACCAAGCTACGTAGGGAAGTAGCCGCTGTGTTTTGGGCAAATATCTACCGAGGACCTGACCCAGAAATAATCCTGCATACACACAAAGACAAAGATCATCTATGTAGCCTGAACAGCTGTTGGGGAAAGGACTGTTAGCAAACACCAATGAAGGCCAGAACAGCATACTACTGGGTGGTGTGGGCAGCTCAAATAAGACACATACAAACTACCAATACCCGTACAATGGCTAGGCTTAACTTCATGGCAGTATGCCAAGTATTATTTTAATTAAACATAAATCAACTTGTATGTGCCGCATAAACAAAAGATTATTAATGCAACTTCAAAATTTGATTCCACACATCGGTAAACAACATTTCAGCTTTAGAAAAACACTGCATCGACCAGGTGTGGTCGATAACCTTAACACGAACCACGTGGACATCTATCCATCACTAATTTATCTGGAGTCGACATGTCTTACATCCACTGCCCACAAAACTTGGACTATGTTGCCATGCATCAAATGTTTGGCACCAACTTTCCATGCTGACATTTTCTTACAATCTACTCTATGCAGAAGCTCTTTTTAAACCTTAAGTATTTAAACTGGCTCCCCATCTCTAAAATCTCTCCATCGTGTACTACCTGCGAGCGTTCCGCCCAGCACCTGGTGTGGGAAGTGAGCGAGGATGTAGATGCGGGACACCCCAACAGCGGACAGCAATGCCAGCAGTGTCCCGTATGACAAGGCCCAGGCCACCCACCTGGGGAACAAACACACGGCACCAATCGCTAAGCTTGGTATGTAGCGACGATGCAACGGTTTATCGATTCAAATGCTTAAGCACACTAGATACATGCATTTAATTGAGTGAGAATAATTGTTTTATTCCTATATGCGAGTCACATGACCCCTGCAGGCAAGAAAGATGGGGCATTCATTGAAACGTAAAAAAAAAAAATTTGAATCGTGATCCCAAATTGTGACAATTGGGAAAGTTAATTTAGTTAATCCACTTCATCCCCTATGGGGCATAAGGCCACAATGAGTTCCCTCCACTTCTTCCTGTCCTTGGCAACATGTTGAGCCTCGCCCCAAGAGAAGTCGATAGCTGCCAGCTCATCCTTCACGGTCTTGCGTCATGTGGTCTTGGGTCTAGATTGAATATCTTCATTTCACGGAGGACTTGGGCCGTCTTTGATGTCTCATAGTGCGGACGTTCTATGTACCAAGTCGTATCTTGGCTTTAGGACCCAGTAGACTCTCCTTCACACTCCTGACTTCTAACAGGCTTTCATCAGGAGTGGTCATACTGCCTGCCGGTAGGCTTGAGCCTACTGTGGCCCGAGTGTTGTCTCGCTTTCTCATTTTGGTTTCCACAACGAACATTTTTTTCCAGGGTAGTTATATGGGCGCTACATCCAACCCCTAACCTGGAGGGCCAGTATACTGTCGTTTCGTCAAATCTCTCGTCTGAAACCGGTCCGGTATGGTTAAACCTGCCTGGAGCCAGAAATCCCCACTGGCATAGCTCTCAAGGTCTTTGAATCACACGAGCCTCACCGCCACAACAAGGTCACATCAAGACGGTGAGGGACAATTTGGGATGGTTACTTGCTACTGCCGGTGCGGTGAGTGAACATCTACATATTTTAATGTGCCACAAAAAGTGGTTGTCTTGTGGAGAGATTGGCCCACATCATATAACTTTGTAATTCCTGAATTCCTCTGGCAAAGATAAGCACAGCTCAAGGTTCATCCGAGCAGTGGGACACTTGACTATGGTGTAGGGCCTAGGTAAGGATGTGCTATAGAATGGATGCGCAGTCCAATGGTTGACGTTTGACAGCACTCACTTGCAACTCATTAAACACTGCCCCTTAGTGTATGAGTGCGCTCGTAGATGATGCAGCTTCACTGTGCAATGCACATCAGGATTTCATCGTCACCATTAACAGCATTTATTTCATCAATCAATGGCCTTATCCTGACATTGTCATCTATCACGGTGAAGTCACAATCCATCCCATCCTCCACATTAACTAATCTCATCGTTTTATCTCTTGGGGAGGTGGGTCATCCACTTGGCCATATTCCTACCCTCAGGCTGCCAATCCGTCACCAGTCCCATCTATCGGCCACCATGCCGTCTGTGTGTGTGTGTTGGCCGTGTGTGTGTTGACCAAGGGTGCAAACTATTGTGCGTGTCTCTTGGCCATATCTAAAAAAAATATGTGGGTCTCCAGACACCCAAGACACTCACAATGGCTGTATCCCTGCCATGACATCTTCGATTAGTAAGGTTGACTATGTACGGTGCAAAAGAAGTTCAACATACATACATACGACACCCCAAGAGCCCTCATATTCATTACCTCCTACACACGACCGTCAGACCTGGCTTCCTTACTTGTTGGTAATGGAGCGAAGGCGGGCAGACGTCCACGAAGCCAGCACCACCCACGCTGCGGCCGACACCATGACATGGCCTGATGGGCTGCCTGTAATAAGCAGCATCACACACCGCAGCAGCACAAACAACACAAATGCGGTCACGTTAACCCCTACATCTTGGGTGAGGAACAATTTCTTTGCTGAGGGTTGATGAAGAGTTTCAAATACCTTTGACAGCAGTCACACTTTAAAACACGTCTCAGTCTGTCACTGCAGTGACAAAAGTAACTGATTTCATTAGAATTAGAAACAGTGTTGCCAGATTATACTTCATCACACGAGTCTTAGAGCAGGACACTCATCAATGCACCATAGCTTGGTTTTACTTTATCAATTCAGGGAGGTGTGTTGAGTCAGTAAAAAAAGTCAAATTTTGTCTGTGAGCTAGTGATCAGGAAGTGGCGCTCATTTCCCATGGCAAGTTTAGTGAAAGGCTGACGATTGCAGACCAAGCTCCGGCTCCAATGGCAGAACAAGGGTGCTTTTAATTTTTTTCTCAAGTATTTTATTTAATGGTTTCTGTGCAGCATCATGAGTTTCAGTTGCATTAAAAATGCGACGTAAATATGCATTGCTGTTGTTGTTGTTGCTGACCAAAATTTAAACTCAACATTCCAACTGTAAGTTTACTGTTTTTCCAATAGAATCACAGACTGAATTAATATTAGTCTGTACATGATTATTAATTAATAAGCTCAAAATTTGTAAATCTAATTGGTGTATCTACGAATGTTTTCGATGCTTGTATGTTGTAGACAATGGGTTCAAGTCACACCTGCAGCCACTAGTGGCCTCTGGAATTGCCACAATGTAAAAAAATATATACATTCTTGAATGAACTGTTATGTTGAATGGCAACGATGATCAAATCTTTGGGAGGGCAGGAGGGGGGAGGGCCCAGGTGCAGGGGTTCGTGAGATCAGTGCATGCGCAGGAGCAAGAAGGTTTGTTGCATCGGTAGACCGTGGGAGATGGTGATGGCTTGGGAAGGCCTTCATCCAGCAGTGGAGTAATCATGACTGTTGATACATATTTTTAAGAAAGTTTCATTGACCAGCAAACGATTACGACGAAAATTGCTGAACCATCGGGCAAGTAGGATCACCTGGTCCAGTTTCACAGGTGTTGGGGAACTGTTCCAACTGCAAGATGCCGGTGGAGTTCAAACCAGACTGAAGGACCCACCAGTAAGGCCGCTCACCAAACAGCAGCCTGCAGATGAACACAGCCACAGGAAAATACAATGCATTTGCACTTTATAATTTATCATTTCTCCTAGCCAGGTCAAATTTAACTTATGGAGATATATCGCTGACTGGAAAATGTATTTTTTTTTAAGTTAACAGAGGAAAACATGACATATAATTATGATACAAGCAGGTATGAAGTGTTTGGAATTGCAATTAGTCTCATTGAAAGTGGAAAGCACCTCAATAAAAGTGAAAAGGCCACACTTAGCAATGAAGGGAAAGTGCACATTGTTTGGGTATATATTACATTAGCCAACTAGACCGTGGCCAATGGTGGCTGGTTGCTCAAATATTTGGGAGGTCAGTGCAGGTGGGAAGGGGGGCTAGAGGATACTACTCCTGCTAAATCGGTTGTGCAGTTGTGTGCCAACAAGTAGTCAGGAGAAGAGTGTTGTGATCACTATTTCACGATGAAATACATTACCACCATTATCATAACCAGCCCAGAGTCCTTCCACTGAACAAACTAGCCAACCAGATCATAGGACTAGCCATAATTATTTTAGTTTTAATTTGGAGGTTTCTTTGCTAGGTTGAGATATGTTTTTAATAAACCTAGGGGATTTTCTGTTCAAATCAATATGAACATGTGTAAAAAGTTGTATGTTTATCATTCTAGATTCCTTTGAAAACTATTAAACTATTAAAAAACTATTTAATATTTTACCAGGTAAGGCCCACTGAGCTATATAGCTCTTTTTCAGAAGCGACCTGACCACAAATGATTGCTCAACAAAATGGCCTATCATGTGGAAAAACTTACAGCAGCCAAATACTCTAAATGCATGTTTCTAAATGTGGAGGGAAAAACCGTAGGACCCAGAGAAAAATCCACACGACCACAGGAGAGAAATACAAACTCCAAAAATACAGGCGTTGGGGTCGGGATTGAGCCTACAACCTCCAGTATACCAGGTGAGGTAGTTAACATCTAGCCACCGTGGTGCCAAAAACCATGGTGCCCATTTCAATCATAAACGGACATTTGTTTTTATGAGGTTTTATTTTGGCCCTCTAATCAATTTTCCCAAAATATGCTTAACTTATTCCACCATATTTATTTTTTGTTGTAAACCCAAGACATCAGTTAAGAGCAAATAGTTTGTCAAAATATTTAAAAACCCAGGACTGCCGTCCGCATGAACCAGGGAAGAGGGTGGGGCCTAATTATGCACCACCCTTGACCAAGTTGGGGGGAATTTGTTTGTCCTTGTCAAACATCGCAAGATTCACTACACGCTTCTTAGCCTTGAACAGTCTGAGCGGGAGCCATGCGGATTTTCAATAGGCCTACGTTTTAGAAAATCTATTAAACAGATGACGTGTTGTTGTTCAATCATTGGCACAAGCCCCATAATGACGAGAATGATCCCTATGGGGTCAGGCCTCAATATTTGTCCATTTGTGAAATGTTGTGAAATGTCTTGAGGACGTATTCTCCAGACCATACACGAATCTGGAGTTTAAGTATCTGGCTCCGTGCAGAGCTCTAAACTCCACTAGCCATTGAGTGGTGACTTATGATTTACTGACGGACAGCGTGTGGACGAGACGGAGGGATTAGAGTTAGTACTGCTGCCACTCTGGTCTGCTTTTCAGAATCAATGTGAGCTCTCTGGTTCGATGCACCTGACCAAGCCCAGATACCTGAATGATGGCAGTCAGTGCGCTTGGACGTAAGCCTCGCTAATTGCGGCTTGAGTCTTACTCATTGAGCGTGAAATTGACGAGGCTCTCCCCTGTGAGTTTCACGCATCGAGCGTGGGACCAGGGAGGCTCAGCGTGGGTCTCCCGCACGGTCTCACGCATTAGGCGTGAGACCTGCCAGGATTGAGCCCGTGTATACTTGGGCATTCCTCCCTCACCATTTGAGCACCAGGTTGAGCCACTCTGCCATCAGAGCCACCCAGAGCACGGCGCGGCCCAGGCGTGGGGAGAGGCCATGTGCAAGCGGCATGAGCAGCAGGTGCGCAGTTCGTGGGTCCCCGAGGTCGCTCGCCAGCAGCAGGAGACGCACCAGGGGCCCGGCTCCCTCCTCGGCCTCCACAGCGGCTCCCGTGGGGCCCCGCACGGCCGCCTGGAGCCTCGCCGCCACCTCCACGCCGTGCGCGTATACGGCCGCCTCCATGGGTGGATTGTGGGTTGACGAGTGGTTAGATGATTTGGGTGAATCGGTAAGGTGGGTAGGTGGGTGGGTGGATAGGTGTGTAGGTGGGTAGGTAGGTGAGTGAGATCCTGAGTCAATGGGTTTGAGTGAGCGAGTAGGTCTGTGAGCGAGTCAAGCTGATGGCCCACCTGATGTCGGGCATTAAAACGTCCTGGTACTGCCGCCGCTGATTGCGGTGAAGTCGGGGCCGCAGCCGTCGCCGCCGCCGCGGGCGTTCATTGACTTGGCACCGGCACGAGCGACCCGGACGTGGGCGCGCTGCCTGCCGCCGGGTTCGACGGAGCGGCCACGTGGTCGCCGTGCGATTTGATTGGTGGGTTGCCGACGCCACGTTGGGTAGGGAAGTGAAGCCCCACTCCTCCCCCACCCCCCCCCCCCCCCCATTGTTGTGCAGCGTGGTCCAGATGTCTCGTGACCTCCATTGAATTCTCCGAAACTTCGTTTTTTTTTTTTAAAGTAACGTTTATTTAAAACTGAAATAAAAGGGGAAAAAAGTTCAGGGGTTAATTTAAACTAAAATTTAGACGGGTGGGGGGGGGGGGTCACAAGACATCTGGAGCAGACAGTACACGGACGCCATGTTAGGCAAGGAGGTTGCGTGCGAGTTCTATTGAGCGACTTGAGGTCCATTTTTCGTAGGTAAAGCGTGGACACCTGTGCGTTGGGGAGGGTTGAAGCGTTGCATGTGGAGGTCGGTGGCGAGTTGGGTGCCCGCTTGAACCGGTTCCTGGGCCTCCCTTAGGTCGACTCAGCCTCAAATTAGCACCTGGTGTGGTGTTTAATCGTCTTCACTGGGGGAGACAAAGGCGGCCGGGCGTGGTTGTTGACCGTCCACTCACCCCTCGTCTGCCGTGCCGGCCTTCATAGGTGCTCACTAACAGCACTTGCCCCCCAACAGTCTCTTAAGGCCATACGGGGAGATCGTTGTCTTTGCCAGCGATGGCGAGATGTTACTTCTCTCGCCTGGTATGCAGGAGGTCGTGGTGGGTTCGATCCCGACCCTAACGATTGCTGCATATTTGGAGTTTGCGTGTTTCTCTCCGTCATCGCGTGGATTTCCCCCCGGGTCCTCTGGGTTTTTCCCCACCACATCTAGAAACGTGCGGTTATAGAGTATTCTGGCTGCTGTACATTTCCACATTGTAAGCCGCTTCGTTGGGCTATCATTTGTGACCAGGTCTGTATAGCTCAGTGGGATTACTTGGTCAAATTAAAAGTTGTACGTTTGAATCTTGGTTGGGGTGTTAGGTCATGGATGCAGGCGCGGTTCAAGTGCATTTATTAGGTATAGCCCTGTGAGCCATTCGGCTCTTGAATCGGGTTCGTCAATTAGGGGCGCTGGGGCATTGCCCCACCAAGCAACTGGGGATGAGAAATATTTTTCTAATAAAAAAATGTAGATAAATCGTTTTGTTGTGTTTACATTATTTACATGTAATGATTATTTCAATGTGACTTGCCTAATGAAGATCATATTTGAAGTTCATATTAGAAACCGCTGCAACTAATACCGCGGGGACGGTCTCGGGGCGGCTGTGAAGGCGTCCGAGTGAGAGATGTCCCCCTTCATTCACTACGATCAGCTTCACATTTTAGCCACGCCGTTTGAGACCCATTCAGGGCAGTGGAAAAGGCGCCCATGGCTGTAATGAGACGATGTCACAACGCGAGGTTGTGCTGTGCAATTACAGCAACTCACGGCTTTTGGCAGTGTCAGAGGTGTTGTGTTGTGTGGACTTGAGGGTCATGGGGACAGCATTTGAGTACTCAGTTGTATCGTTTCATATTTATAAATGCCTACCATTGGTAGATATCACTTTCACGGGAAGTCCATCAACACGACTCGGCTTTTCTTAATTAGTACACCATGTTTTCAGAGGTCATTCAGAACAGCCCCACCTAGTGAAAATGTCACGAGCCGCCACTGCATGGATGTCACTCTGGGCGGTGTGTTGAGTAGTAAACTTTGTCTAGAGTCTAGATTCCAGGGGTCGGCAACATGCGGCTCCAGAGCCTCACGTGGCTCTGTAGGGACCGCTCCGTGGCTCCCGACCCGATAATTGCAAAGTAACACGAGGAAAACCCCTCCGAATTATTTTCGATAAACGGTGAACGTCTAAAAGCCCGACAGGGATTCGTAATGCAGCATTACAAACCATTGTGCGTGTGCTGTTCCGAAAATAGTGATTACAAAAAAAATGGGTTGACATGTATTGTATTCACATGCACTGTGGCTCTCGAAATATTTAGGGTTTTTTTTTACCAATTCGAAGAAAATAGCTCTTATTGTTATTTTGGTTGCTGGCTCCTGAATTCTAGAACATCGATACAGTCGGACAAACTCAAAAATACCAAATTGATTCAACCATTGATACAAAATTAGCATTTTCTTATGCCGGTTATACTTTTGTAATGCGTTTATAACGCCGTGAGTAAAGAGAAACGTCTGATTCTAATGGAGTTAAATATCATGTGTTTCTAATTGGAAACCCGCTGATAGAATTAATGTGAGGTGTAACGTTGATTATTAAATTCCAGAACATTGCGTAAAAATAACATGAAGCAATTCGAGCATTTTCGAAACGCAACTTTTTTCAATTAAAATTTGAGGGCTTGGTGGATCCTGCCGAGCAGGGACGTGCGGTCAGGGGAGGCAGGGGAGGCATAGCCTCACCTGTCATGCTCCAATGACAATAGCTGTTATGAAAAGTAAAAAAAAAGAATAAAATAAATATTAAGACTTTTTGCACTGATGTGCTATAAATGTAATTTCTGTACGATTCCAATCATTTTTTATAGTCGAAATCGCAAAATTTGCGGAGCTCCGCTACAAATACAGGAAGAGACGAGAGGTGAGGCAGCGACGAGCTCAGCCTCCCCTCTGATTGCGCAACCCCTCAGTAACTGGATGGAGCGCGGGCAATAAGCGCGTGCCTGTTGCTATCTCAGTATGTCACCAATGTAATGTTTGTAGACCCCTTCATTTCATGTCCTCGCCTTCCATAGTCCAGGTAACTTATTTCACGTATGTGTATAAAGCTATATTTAGGCTCGCTGGTCTCGTCATGAAACTGCAATGAAAAAGCACCAGGGGAGGCACCTATCACATCTGCCTCACCGAGGGAGGCGTGTCTAACACGCCCCCCTCAGTGAGGCCACGCCCCCCTTCGTGAGTCCACCCCCCCCCCCTCAGTGTGTGAATCTGGCTCTACCACTAGCCAATGCCTCTCCAGCCATTGACCTCACCGCACGTCACTGATGCCGAGATGGATCCATGATTTGCGTGGGACACTCACGTTTAAGATCAGCAACGTGCCTGTGGTACAACATGGAGGTTGCTGACTCATATGTGTGGAGTTTTAGTGATCTTTCATAAAAATGTCAAACTAGCAGCCTGTGCGTCCTGTGGACATGACCGTCCGTCCCTCCCTAGAGCTAGCCGGCTCGCCAGCGAGCAAAACTTTTTTCTGATATACTGTAGTATGACATAAACAATCAAATGAACCAGGTATGTAAAGTAAGACCCACTTGAAAACCAGGCCTGAGGTTCCACTGGGTAAATGTAGCAGCGGATTGTGTCAATTCAATGTTGGACGAGGGCCTCATCATGCCGTCCGGGTCTTCGGTTACTTTGACATACTTCACCACGCTGGTCAGGGCGGGTTTGGTGAAAGCAGGGAGCGTGTAGATATTGGCGCAAGAGTACAATATAACCATTGCAGCCGTGAGTAAACGTATTATATTATTATCATCATCACTAGAGGGCAGCCCGTCTTACGAACGAAGAGAATCTTCATGCAATTCTAACCACTCTAACCACCTTCACATGCAAACGGCCACAGCAAACCATTAATGTAGCACAGTACTTTATACTGGAGCAGAATTTTTTTTTGTAAACGGCCCACACAAGGGAATGTATTTACGTTAAGCGAAATGCAAACACGAAAGAAAAATTAGAAGGGGCAAACCTCTGCGGCAGTAACGCCATCCATCGCTCATGAGCTGACCGAATAAATGAATTTGCTCCTCCTTGTTTTCTTTACAGCACGGAGCACGCACGCACGCACACACATAGCCATAACATACTTTCGTGGTAAGTGCTGTGAGCGAGCGACTATGAGGTGGCAGTGTGGCCAACACCAATGCCCGGCCGCCTTTGTTTCCCCATTTGTTGATGGCTAGACTCCACACCAGGCAGTCATTTAGGAACTGAGTTGACCTTGGGGGAGGGGGGGTGGGTAATCGTCACATGTGTTGGTCGTGAAACGGGAAACGAACTCGGGTCGCCGAGTTCGTAGCGCGGCGTTCTATCCGCTGCACTCTCCACCGACACATGCATATACAAATGTCTGGGCATGCACACACGTGAGTGCACAAAATTCACAAATACATAAACGTGCACACACACACACCAGCGCACACACATTCATACTCGTGCGCACACACACACACACGCATAGACATATTTATAAAGCGTACGACAAAAATCACCCGCGTAGCCTCTGTCGTTTGACCATACTTCACGCTGAGCAGTGCGGTGTGGCGAAGGTGATGCGTAGGGCCTATCCGGACGTCATTCGCGACTGATGTTAACCGTGACTGGGAATGGAACGGAGATCTCCTGGTTCACAGTGCAATGTGCTAAGCGCTGGACTGTGAATTCAGAAAAAACTGGGTTCATAGCGCAGTGTGCTCACCGTTGCGCCGCCTCTCCCCCTCGTTTCTCAATTCCGTTATAAATGAATAGTTGGCACACAAAAAACACCAGCTTATAAATGACTCTAAGTAACTGGGTCTAAACGGGCCAAGAGCCCAACGCATTGGCCAAATGAATGAATGCAAGCGCATTGTAATGTGTTCCATGTCTGACCTGTTGGACACACAGCATACATGCTTATTTAGACCTACCCATTCGCACGAAATCCTCAGCCATGATCAATCCACTGCTGGATGAAAACCTCCCCAAGCCGTCACCATCTGTCACAGTCCGTTATGTAAAAAATCCACCCGCCACCCGGACACCTCGACAGCGAGCGCTGCATTGTGACGCATTTTCTGCAAATCGGGAGTGTCGCGTCCGATATACCATCGTGCAGTTCATCGACATCGATGTAATAAGGAAGCGAGCCTCTGCTTATGAGTCGCTGGACGTCGAAATCGGTCCAGATGAAACCAACACTGCTGCTGAAAAAGACGCATTCCCAAAAGATCGCGTGATTATGTAAGCACACAGGACTGTACTCGCGTATTTGTACGTGGAGAGAAAATAGGGAAGGATGCGTTGCCCTATTTGTTTTTGCATCGCGAGCGATCGTGTCACTGAAATAATTGCACTGTTATTTGTGGCAATTAACCCGCGCGGAAATGTTTAATTAGAATGTGTTCCTTCGCTCCCCCCCGCCGCCTTTCCGCCCACCTACCACCCAACTACCCTAACCCTTTCCACCCTCTCACAGTCCCCACTCTCTCTCTCTCCTTACTTATATCGACACGTGGACAAAAGACGCCTTTGTGTAGACTGTTTAAAGTAGTATTATTCCGGAGCGGCCGTACATTTGTACGTTTGTGTTATGAATGAACCCGAGTCTGTCTCGACCCAGGCTCATACAGTTTATATTTGTGTTAGCGCTGAGAAAGAAAAAACACCCATAATGCGTACATTTGCAAACCGCGGCCCTTCTGATTTTGGAAACCAGACTGTGTGCGCGTGTGGATGTGTGTGTGTGTACTCAGTACGCGTGGTCTTGTGTGCACACGTGTGTTGTGTGTTTATGTGGGAAGCGGTAGTGTACTGGTTAGCGCGCTGCGCTACAAACCCGGCGACTCGAGCTCGATTCCTGCTCACATCCGCCAACAGCAGTGACGATTATCCGAAGCGGTCCTGGGTCTCCCCTAGGTCGACTCAGCCTCAAATGAGTACCCGGTGCGGTGGGTAAATATCACCACTTCGGAGACAAAGGCGTGGTGCTGACCACCCACCCCTCGTGTACCGTGCGAGCCTGCAAAGTCCGTTGAGGCTATACGGGGGATCATTGTCTTTGTGGGTATGTATGTTGAGAAGCAGTCGCGTATTAAATTAGAGCACTACGAACCCTGCCTCCCTAGTTCGATTCCCTGCCTCCCTAGTTCGATTCCCTGCCACACCTAAGATCAGTGGCGCGTGATATTTGAACAGCTTTAAAATTAGTTACATAAGTACGGTTTGTAAACAGCGGTTGGGAGACAAAGGCGACCAGGCATGATGCAGAGAATGTGATGTGTTACATATACCATCTTTATTGATTCCTTTACCAAACACATGCACTTTTAACATTTTGGGTCTACTGAGCCATATTTTTTTACCTGAAATTCCGTACTGAACATACCGACCCTGTGAAATACAAGGCCCTGGTGCTTTTCGGACTTCTACCGCTATATATCTCTTTTAGCGTCATACTGTTCCAAAAATTACAACAAAATTAGTTATCGAGAATATTATGTCATATTTAAAGAAAATTCTGATACAAATGTTCGAAGGCCTGAATTAAAACAAGTAAAAATTCCAAACCTCTTACCCCCAAATTTTCGGGTGCCCCAACATATACATTTTAAATGCCATTTTCTATAGTTTTAGATCAACACTCGGCTATATTGTATTTGTGACATAATTCAGCTTTCTTACCCTTCTAGAAGATCGTTAGAACTTGGATCACTCACCGCATCATCACTCACCCACTTCGGAATGCCGTACGTATACTTGACAGCACTTGCGGCAACAACCTGTAAACCGGTGTGCAAATGAGCGGCGTTCTCCATGCACCTGTGCATTGTACACATCACGAAAGGCAATGAACGGGACGCATTGTGCTAATCAAGGCACTGGGGTTTTTTTACCACCTTAAAAAGGGACCTTCACATTAAATCTTGCAGGACCTGTATTTTGGTTTATAATTTGCGGCGCTGGTTTGTGTTCCTGAGTAAATATCGCGCGCGTGGGACCGCGTGAATAGTGACGCGTGCAGCGTGGAAGTCCGCACGCACACGGCAATTTCAAGTAATTGCTTCGGTTCATTGCACGCTACTCGTAACTGTGTACCCGTGGCAGCACACTGCGGGAGTGGGAATAGAGTCAAGAATATATGATGGATGGGAAAATACAAACTGGAACGGGAAAGAGAAGAGAAAGAATGGAAAATAAGAGGAAACGGATGGAAGAGGAATGCACGCATGGGCAGCGTCTGTTTCCAGATGGGGCGGGTAAAGGGGATGGATTCAGAGTGTGGGAGAGCCCAAGACAATACGGTTCCAGATACCACCCGCCACTCATGTTAGCCGTGACCGGCATCCGGCGAATTGAACTCGGGTCGTCGAAATTGTAGTGCAGTGTACTAACGACTGCGGCACTACTCGCAAATACAAATACGATATCCGAATGTTAAAACATCGATGTTTGCACGCATTATTTGATGCATGGATCACGAGCCTTAAAAATCGGCATTAATCGATGAAAAATAGATGCATTTTCACACCCCTAATACCAGGGTCGCAACCACACTGTGGGACTTTGGAGTGCCCTCCTATAGCGAATGTTTCATATTAGATCCGCGAAGTTCTCCCGACACTTCGTCATGGATAAATAAAAAAAAGTTCTACTGACTCAGTACTGAGCCGACTGTTCGCGCGGTATGCTGTGCATTTATATGAGACTTATCTAGTTTCTTGAATTCTCACCCAGTTAAACCAAATACATGTTGACTTACCCTTAAATATTCCAAACATCATAATTATAATCAGCATCACTTCGTTGGAAGGGACAAACCGCGCACTCAAAAATGTCATTATATTCGTACCAAATATTGAGGATGTCTCTTAGCCGCATCGAAACATGTTTGGGGTGTTTGTACACCCACCACCGCGGTAGCGGCTGCTGCTGCTCTGCCCATTACGACGCTCACGATATTCGTGCAGCCAGGGGTCGTGGGCGCATATGGGGCTGGGATGGGGATGTGTGAAGGGTTGGGTTGGTGGATGAGGAGGAGGATACATTTCTCCACTCGTCAGCCAATAGAATCGCGGAGCTAATAAACGCGGGCGTGGCGTGCGCACATGGCAAAGAGTCGCCGAGCGCAAAGTTGCTCAAAGTTCGGAGCAGAGGTAGGAGGGAGGGAGCCATCGGATTCGTTTTTCCAAGGAGACGTTCTGCAGCAGGGTGGAACATTATTGGCACGGCTGGGACAGCAGTGAAACCGAATCCAAGGCGCACAAAGAGGCACGCAGGAACGCACGTAGAGAGGCGCATAGAACAAGGGCAGAGAAAGACTCAAAGTGAACGAAGACACTTATAAAATACATGCGTAGAACATATCGATTATGAAAAAAAGTACGCTTAACAATTCGCGCTAAAGCACGTATAAAGACAGATAAACATTTAATAAAATACACATAGAAAGACATAGAACAACATTAAAGGGAAAGACCGTATAAATACACAATATAATCACTTAGACACAGAGAGAAACAGAAACAAATCTTAGCACGAAGACGCTTATAAAGACAGAATATCACTGAAAAAGACAATAAAAACAACTCTTAGAAAGACTCAGAAAGATCTCACGTTAAGCCTCACAGAAAGTCGCACATACAAAATACACGCGGATTAGAAACTCGCGTAGAAAGAAGAGGCGGAAAAAAAAGCGGAAGCGGGCCGCTCGAACGGGACTCGATTTTCCAAACTCGACCACTCGCGCCTCGCTCGCCTCGCTCCATCGTCATCCTCGCTCCAAGTCCAGAGTGGGTTCGCTCTCCTTCGGCCAGAGTCACCACGATCCGGTCAAGCGAGGTCAGAGGACTTCGAGGCCGCAGAGGGGAAGGGGGGGGGGTCATAGATATCGAACTCGGCAGGGGGTGAAGGATTTAACTCGGCGGGTGGAGAGTCGGGGGACTCTAGGAACCATGGAGTCTCCCGTGAACGGCTCTCCGCTCACTCCCTTCTCATGCAGTGAAGATGACTCCCCTGGGCGTCCCGCGCCCAAGAGAAGCTCCCGCAAGAAGCGCCCTGCGCAGGGCGGAGGAAGAGCAGCGACATCGTCAATATCAGCGACATCGTCAGCAGAGGCAGCAGCAAGGGGGCTCGCAACATCATCTCCTGTGTGCAGAGGAGACGGCAGCGGCAAGCGGAGGCAACGATGCGGGGACGCGGTGGTGCCAGGGGATTGTGGGGCAGCGGACGGCAGCGCGGGCAGCGCGGGCAGCGTTTGCTCCTTGTCGGGGGAAGAGGTCCAGCAGCAGCGCTTCGTGGCGAACGTGCGCGAGCGGCAGCGCACGCAGTCTCTGAACGAGGCGTTCGCGTCCCTGCGCCAAATCATCCCGACACTGCCCTCGGACAAACTGAGCAAAATCCAGACGCTCAAACTCGCCACGCGTTACATCGACTTCCTCTACCAGGTTCTGCAGAGCGACGGCGATGGTGGCGGCGGCGGTGGCGGTGGTGATGTCGGAGTCCTCGGTGGTGGGGGAGGCGAGGGGGACTGCGGCGAGGGCCCCCATGCAGGGGTTCAGTGTGGCAGCAGCTACGCGGCACAGGAGCGGCTCAGCTACGCGTTCTCGGTGTGGCGCATGGAGGGGGCCTGGTCAATGTCGGCCTCGCACTGAGGTGAGAGTTGAGGGTGCAGGCTGTGCATGGGTGGCCAGAAGGGCCCTAGCGCCAAGCTCTGAGGAGATGACACCGGGGAATTGGGTAGGATGCGCCATTTAATTCCCTTGCACCAGGGCCCATATCAACCACACTATGATCACTGGAGGTCAGGGTGCGGGCGTGGGGGTTGTGGGTGAAGAGGGGAGAAAGAGGAGGAGGGGGTGGGGACGAGGTGGGGAAGGTGGTGGTGGAGATGATGAAGTGGTGGATGGAGAGGAGTTGATGGAAATGACGAAGGGTAACTGGTGTTGACTAACGAGGGATGAATGGTGATGATGGAGGTGGCGAGGGGTGAGTGGAGATGAGAAAAGGTGGACGAAAGTGACATATTGACGGATGGTGAGGACAAATGGTGGATGGAGGTGAGATTATGTTGGCGACGAGGTAGTGGATGGTGAAGAGAAGGTGGATTAAGGTTATAGAGATGATGATGATGGATATAGCTAAGGGGATGGAGAGTGATGATGTGACAGGAAGATAGCGGTGATTTATCTCCATCGGTGCTTGTCTCAAGAAAGCTGTCTCTGGTGTGGACCAATCCAGTTTCAAAGACAATGCACATACTGTCAGAGCATGTTTTTTGCTTGTATTTTCTCTGACAAGTAGCTGTGGTTAATGCAGACATGATTCTTAGCAAAAGGTTTCAGTTTGGTGTTTTAGCATCTTAACACCTGTTTTGTTGCCAGAAAAACCTATTCTTATATTTTGACACTGGCAAAGGAGGCCCCGTGATGATTATGAGTGTGCGATAATTTTATACGCGCCAATAGATCACTTACCGACCCGCACAAAAGAGCCCCGGATTAAATGTTTCAGGAAATGTGTTGAATAATATAAGTTGTTGTATATGGTTCCCAGGGGTGTCGTGGTGGTGCAGTAAGTGGTTATCACACTCCGATATTCATTCAACCGGCACTGACCAGCGCGGTGAAGTATGGCGAAACAACCCCATTATCGATCGACACGGCGTGCATAAGTAATCAATCATCCAAGAGTTGATTGTCTAACGTGTTGGCCACTGGGGTTTGTGTCACCATACTTCATTGGTCAATGCGTTTAAGCAAAAGAAGGCCCACGAGTAGTGCAGAGAGCACTCTGTACTGATGTTAGATGTGGCCGGGAATTGAACACAGGTCGCTAGGTTCAGGGCGCAGCGTGCACTCTGCCGTTTACATACGCGTCTAAATGCGACCACATTTAAATAGGCTGCGACACTTATTCCGGCGTTTGTAGTCTGCAACAGGGCTCCGTGTGTACAAGACTGCAGGTACAGGAGTAGCAACCATGAGTAGGCCGATTACTTGATCCGTGGATATGGTAAATGCGTAGGCGTTAAACACGAGTTGATGCGATTTCAAATTCATTGCAGGCCCTGCCCAAAGAGTAAAATCTATCTGGGGACATGTTTTTTGAAGGCCCCACTTTAAACATTTCAGTTTTCGAATTATTATCGTTGTACGCATGGACTCGACTATATTTATACCAAATGTAAATATAATTGCCCTGCGAAAACATTACAAATTTACATCTCGAACTTAGCTACAGTCGTGACGTACATATGACCAAACATCACATTTATTGTTATTCCAACAAAATCAGACGAGCCATTCCGATCTAAATAGGTGCTCGCTAAAAGTGGCATAACGACACTTTTAGCTCGGGCGGTGCGGCAATCGGTCAGGCGAGGCCCCAATATTTGATTTGACTCGCAAGGTCACACCGATGCTTTATATCGCGGCTCCTCTGGCCTAATAAGATCACGGTCTAGAATATTTCACGCTGGAGGGGAGCTCCGTATTTTGCAAAATACTTTTATTATTATTATAAATATTGAAAAAATATCTCATGGTGGTTGTCACGAAGGCCCCAACTCGTAGCCTTGGCCACCAGATCAGGGGGGGAGGGGAGCAAGGCACCCCCTGCCTCCACGCTAGTTACGCTGCTTTCCCGCAGAGTCTCTGAAGGCTACACGTGGGGATCTCGTTGTGTATGCATAGTTCATGGTTCCACGGGGAGCGCCATTGGCTCGAGATGTGTTTGTAGAGCTGTGCTGTGAACTCCACAATTGCAACGCAAGAAGTGAAACGAGGTCTTACGGGTGGAGTGCGAGAGGTGGGATTAGTGGTAGGGGTGGGGGTTAAGATTTGTGATTGTGGCTAGTTTAATAATTGGTTAGGTTTGGGGTCGGCGTCGGGGCCGGTACTCGACGCAGATTGGCTACTTGTTCGGGATAGGGTTTTCGTCAATAGTCATGGTGTCTGGTTGGGTAGTTGGTTACGGTTGTGGCTGCGTTTACTCGGCTAGTTGGTTATGCCAAGGGTCAGTAGGCATGTCTAGCAATAGTGGCGGGTTGTTTCGGGTTAGGATGACTGGCAGAGCTACTACTAGTCCCTGGTTGGCTAGTTGCTTATGGGTAGGGCTGGGGTCAGTAGTAGCTTTAGTACAAGTAACTAGGTGGCTCGTTGGTTCTGGTCAATGTGAGAGATTAACACTCATGTTTGGCTAGCTAGTAAGGGTTAGGGTCAGTGTGATACTTAACATTCGTGTCTGATTTGGTCATTTGTTAGGGTTAAGGTCGTGTCTTATAATAATAATAATAGTTCAATTTGTAACGCGCGCAAATTTGCAGACGTAGTAGCCGCAACTCAGAGGCGCGGAGCCAAGCTCAGAGTCGCTCGAAAGCATGATTGTAGAGGCTAGTTTTTAAGTCTCTCTTGAAGGAGGCGATTGAGGTGATGCTGCGAATGTGCAGAGGGATATCGTTCCAGACTGTTGGGGCTGCCACCGAGAAGCGGCGCATAGACACGATGACTATCCTGGATCTTGGTATCAAGAGGAGGTCGTGAGTCGCGCTGCGCAGGCCTCTGCCGTGTGCTGAGCTGCAAGTTGTCAATAATGAAGAAAGGTACGGCGGGCAGGCGGATATGAAGGCATTGTGGCAGAGGCAGGCGGTCTTGTATGTGCCCCTACTGGCGATGGGTAGCCAGTTGAGAGCACGGAGACAAGCTAGTGAGTCGAGACGGGGATGAGTGTGGGGTAATATTCGTTGCGTATTGGCTCGTTGGTTATGCGTATGCCGGTCAATGGCACGGCTAGTGCTAGAGGGCTATTGTCTCGTAGGTAGTTATGCCTAGGGCTCAGCGAGAGGGTTATATAGAACTGGTAACCGACTGACTCCTGGTCGGGAGTTGGGGTCGTGTGTATGTCACGGGCGTCCGGCTGGCCGGCGCACTCCGTGCCGCTAACCGCCATAACCACTGGTCCACTCCACTTCGCGTCGCGTTTCCAGTTTGGTTTGGCCGCATTCGCGCTGTTGACTGCCGCTAGACGAGCGCTTCGCACGATGTGGCCACGCCGAGCGACGATGATGTTACTCGACCCCGCCAAACACTTACTCGCTCGCCGCTTTCGCAACTCAGCCGGCAACATTCGTGGCATGCCACGGCCAATTACCCCAGCCAAACACGCGTATGCACAATCCGCCTCCTCGCCTGTAGGGTTTACAAGCTTAATTGAATTAAATATTAATAATGAAAGTCCCCTTAGCACGCCGAGGATATCGTGGCCTATATGATTTCAGACATGCCGGGTGTCGCGTTACGATGGTGGTGGTGAACGTGGTTGTGTCACGTGGTGGTGTCGCGTGTTGGTGGTGGGTGGCGCGTGCTTCTGCTGGTGGTGTCTCTTGATGGTGTCGCATGGTTCTGATATGGTTGTCGCGTGTTGGTTTCGCGTGGTTCTCGTGGTGGTGTCACGTGGTTCTGATCTGGATATTGCTTGGTGGTGATGTCACGTGGTTCTGGTCTTGGTGTCGCTGGGTCGTGTCGCATGGTTCTAGTGGTGACATCGCGTGGTGGTGGTGGTGGTGGTGGTGTCACGTGGTGTTGTTGGGTGCGGGTGTCGCCACTGCGTTGAGTTATGGCCAGTCCCCGAGTAACCCGCTCTCTGGATTTGTTCAAAGGTCACGTAGACGAATTTTCATTTCCATCAGATGTTATTAACAAAAAACGTCCCGATGTCTCGCCTTCATCACCAACGACGATATAAGTCGCCAGATTCACTGGGATACGTTTAAGCCGTGGATCTCACATGATAGGATCTCATATGTTGACGACCCTTGTGGCAATTCCACATTATGATAGATACGGAGGGATTTAGCATTTAAATAGAACCACGGTTGATGTTTTTGGGACTTTGCACAAAGTGGCGCCGTTCATGTTGTAGACCATAGCGGCATGATGATGATGAATGGGATGGATGTTTGAATAAAAAAAAAACGCGTTCACTCTTAATGATTACAACTATGACAGTGCTTTGCGTTACTGGCCGCTTCAAAGTTTTGACGCACGGTCTGACACTAATCCGTGTGTCCCCGTCCTCCCTTGCAGATGACCCCGAGTCCCAGTTTGGCTGTCCACCCCGCGCCGGGCAGCAGTGGGTTCATGCCCTGGACCTAGCGCCGAGAGGAGGAACCGCTCACGACATCCACGTTGCAGGCCACGTGGTCTTGACTTAGAGTGAACGAATCGTGCTGCCGGGAGCGTTTCAACTATACCACGTGTCAACGGATGGACGTCATCTGTGCTTATTATTACACGAACGTCCTCTAAAATTTGACACACAGCTGCCAGAGGCTGTTACAAGGTGCAAAGATTGTAATACAATCAGGATTCCCACAAGACTGCAATGTATCATCAAATGCGTACATACAGCCACACGCTCATCCATTGTATGTACATCGAGTCGTGGATTAATATCGATTCTTAATCTCACGGTTCGCTCATGGATTTGTTTCCTCTCACTTGTACTGTACGTAATGACTCTTTGGTCCTTTCGGTAAAGTCTTCACCGAAAGAACCAAAGAGTAATTCCTGCAGTCACGAAAGCTTCAAATCAAGTTTGTACGTAATGAGTTCACGCGACTCACCCAGCCACTAGGGGTCGCCATATTAGCCACGATTAAACAAATCTAATTTTTTATTCTTGAATTGGCTCCATTCTTGATTCGAGCCGTGAACCGGATTTTCGCAAATTGATGCAATCTCGTTTCACACCGCATATATTGTGCCAGATATACACCCAGCCAGCTACAGCGACAGAGCGAGTGGCTCACGATCAGAAGGATGCGAGCTCAAGTTCTGCTTGGGTAACGACTCAACCAATCATCCTTTCAGTGTTGATAAAATTGGTACCACTTTGTGGGGATTGTGCTATGGAGAGAATCGCACCCCGCCATAGGAACGTGGAATTTCCACCACTCGCTCAGGGTTGGAAGCAGGAGATGAGCACTGCCTCGATGCTCATTTGAGCAGAAAATTAGTTTGAGGGATGTATCACGATTCATATGCGATGTTATGAAATTGGTAATTCGAGTCAAGAATCGATTCATATTTACATCGTTTGTATTGTTGCTCATCCGTAATGTCTCATTTGTCATTGTTTGTCCTGCTTCGTTGGTACTGCGTGTCGACCTAGATTCTACCGTCTCCTTTGTGTTTCGTTCTCTGCTGTCTTTGTATTTTTCATTGCGTGCTGTCTTACTTGTATTCTCCAACTATTGTACTTACCCGTTCGGGTTTTAGTGCATTCCGTGAGCATCCACGTTACATTCGCGGGGACTCGATGCACGAAATCGTGAGTTTAATCATCGATTAATCGTTACTCATTGCGCGTTTATATTTGTTGGTTTTCCAATTGCTCGCATATTGATCGTGTAAGAAGCATTGACAGTGTTAACGTATTTATGTGCAGAATAATACACGCCGCTGCTCCCAAATTAATTTATTGTAGGTAACCCTTAAAGGCTTGTTATAAATTGCACCACTCTACAGTATTATATATGTATGCGCTGTAATGCTAATTGCGTATCTACTGCAATTGAATTTCGTTTAAGACGTATACAGGTCCGGTCTTGTAACTAGCGGTGGCCAAAGCTCAGGGCCCTAAGTAGGCGCAGGGCCCCACGGATTCATGGACCAATAGGGGTGGGACATATCAGCTCGAATCACAAATCCGATTAAAACATATATAATAAGCCCATTAACATAAAAATACAATTAATCTCTCTCATCTTGCATCTCACTACAGCGATTAACTTTTTTCATTGCATTTTTCTTATCTCACTACGTCTCTGTTTTGTCTAGATATATATCTCCTGTCATCTCACGAGGAATGTACACTGTACCGTACATTAAAACTAAACTAAAAATAAACTATTTTTATTTTACAAGGTAAGGCCCACTGAGCTATGTGAAGCTCTTTTTCTGAAGCCACCTGGCCACAAATGATAGTTCAACGAAGTGGCTTATCGTGTGGAAATGTATAGCAGCCAGATACCCTAAACGCATGTTTCTAAATGTGGAGGGGAAAACCGGAGGACCTGGAGAAAAATCCACGCGATCGCGGGGAGAGAGAGCGACGTGCAAACTCCAAATATACAGGCGTCAGGGTAGGGATGAAACCCACAACCTCCAGCATACCAGGCGAAGAAGATATAATCTCGCCACCGCGACGCCCATTAAAAGAGGGTAAGGTCTCCAGTGGGCTAGCACCACCACTGCTGTTAACATCCAACACCAGCAGCGAATAGCGGTCAGAAACGAAAAATATTCTGCAAGTGCCAATGGGGCGATGAGGGGCAAACCGTTTGGGGGCAGAACACACTTAACCCTCGCCCACTCACCAACCGGCAACGGGTATCGTACGAGACATTACAGAGATCTTTTGCAACTGGCCAAGCTGCTACTTGCACTGCATACACCCCCTACCGTTGATCAACTAACCCACCAAGCGCTCTCTCACTAATTCTGACCAGTGGTCGTGACAGTGGCGAGCAGGTGTCCCTTTCCGAGGCGGGCGCTGCCAAATATCGGTAGCCAAATTAATTAGGAACGAAGCGAGCAGTGGCGGCTGATCGATCACATTTGTGGTGGCCAGTGTCGGCTTCCGCAGCTGCGGGGGGTGGGACTGAAGGGCAAACGTTGCCCCCTCGCACCAACATGCTTCGCTACGGCTCTGATCCTAACCCGCTGACCCGAGCTTCGCCCTCCAAACAGGATCGGTTCTCAACTTTTGTTAGTTCTGTTTTCAGTGTTGCTGATCACAGCGCACAGGGCGAATGAGGAATGTTTGCGGCTCCTAGGGTTCGCCAGCAGGGGGAGACGTGGTTGGTAATTACACGATGGAACACGATTTTTGTCCCTGGGTAGTAAGTGTTATTTTTTAATTGCTTGTGCCCAAAAAGGATAGACAATGGCTATTATTCCCCACAAACTTTGCTTTTTTGACCGGTACTTTACGTGAAGGAATGACACAAATGCACACGTTTTCTCATTGAAAATAGGTAAATTTCAAAATATCACTGTCCTGGTCACAAAAGCAAAGTTTGTGGGGAATAACAGCGATTTTCTGTACTTTTGAGGCATAAGCAATTGGGAAATAACACTTACTACCGAGGGATAAAAAAAAACATGTTTTTGGTACACAGTGTTATCGTTGAGTCTATTTGCTCCTTTTCTCTCGCTGGGTTTCTGTCGTCTCTTGTGTCGCCGCCTTCGTTTCCGTCTCTCTGGTCGCGTTGTCTCTAAAATTGTCTGCACCCCTCATACTCATTTCTTTAGAACTGCTTTATGTGTGTAGTTTTGTTGTCCTTCCCCCACACCTCCGATTTGCACGGTTGGCCACGTACGGTGCGAAAGTTCAACATACGTGGCTGGCACCCTTCACAGCTTTGCGTCCTGGGCGGCTGCCCCGGTCGTCTATGCCACGCTAAGGCCGAACCTGGACGTACAGTTACTGTCAATGCAATATTGTTCGATTATTACTAATTACTATACAAATATATAATTGCTCTGTTATGGACGAAATTCTTGTGTCCGTGTGTGTGTTTAATGATTTTGTGCGTTGATAACGTGTGCAAATATAATTCAAGCAAAATGTGAATTAAGTCATGACGAGACCCCTGGGGTCAGGTGGGCGGGTGTTCAACAATTGCTGGATATGGCAGAAGGAAGGATGCGATGGCGGGTGTAGCGTTGTATTCAGCATTTTCCGTGATGACCTCTTCGATTTATGGTCTTCAACTGCGTTTGCTTTCCTGAGCCCACTGCGTGAACTTGGTGGCCAGGGATAAAATGAGAGATGTCCTGGAAGAACTTGAGAACCCTCATATATATTCGGATAGTCCTACGATCATTTCTGAGGAACAATTTTCAAATACAATTTTGAAAGTTAATAACGTATGATCTCCGCACAGGTGACCACAATTAGTACAGAGTAAAGCTTAGTTTACTTTTTCATGCACTCGGTAACAGCAAGAGCGCTGAGCTGGCACTGCTGAACTGCCGGGTTTGAATCCTCGTGTGGACATGAGGCCATTTGAACGAATCCCAGCAGAGGTAGATCTCTAATGCCCACGTCCGTGGTCCGTTCTCTAACGCGAGTGCTTGCATTGCCCTGGGACAGATCGGAGTGATTATTTGTCTCGCGGCACAGGACACCGACATCAATTTCTGCATTTTGAAAATAACATTTGGGGGAAATATGAGAGAAGATGATCGTAACGGGACGGGTTGAGTTCGCTACTTGTCTCTCGTGGCGAGATGTTAACCACCTCGCCTGGTATACACGCGGGCGTGGGTTCGATCCCGACCTGACGCCTGCCGTATATTTGGAGTTTGTGTGTCTCCCTCCCCGTCGTCGCGTGGATTTTTTTTTCCGGGTCCTCCGGTTTTTTTCCTCCACATTTAGAAACATGCGTTTAAAGTATTTGGCTGCTATACATTTCCACGTGATAAGCCACTTAATTGGGCTATAATTTGTGGTCAGGACGCATCTGAAATATATATATATATAGCTCAGTGGGTCTTAGCTGGTAAAATAAAAATTGTGTTTTAGTTTAGTTTAGTCGTGCTATGTGTTCACGAACAGAAATTCGGCCTAAACGCGTTATTAGTGCAGTGCAACTGTGTTTTCTGGTGTTTGCTTTTTTTACTTGGCTTAATTAATGATTACCATTATTTGCAAAAAAAAATCCTTATTAGGTATTTACCGTTAACGCACACCGGCAAATGCAGTCACGCCTACAAAATAACAAGGATCCCCCTTGTAGCCAGAATATGTGACGCCTTGCAAGCGAGCTCAATGTCACACACTGCATCAGGTAATCTGTTAAGGCTGAACTGAACTAAGGGAGGCCCACATCATGTTCCTATAACTCACGAAAGGTAAATAGCGTACTGTATCCACCACCCCCTCCCGCCCCCACCACAACACACACGTAAAATAAGTATAACCAGTAAAAACAAAGTTTTTCACTATAAATCCTTTATATGTGTGGCGGCTAGAGTCCTCTCGTCCTCTGGCTTGAGATGGTTGCCACCTATGGGTCAGATGATTGCATTGCACCATTAAGCAATTGGTAATTAAATATAATATTTTTGTCCTAAAAAGTGTAACATTTTGGAGAAAAAAAATTCACGAACACTAATTGTCACGCACAACGAGTCGGTGTGGAAAATGTCAGCTCGATTGGATCACGAGAAGTGGGTTAAAAAACGACCGAAAGATTTGCACGGTCCTAAGCAAGCAAGCAAACTTAATATAAAGGATTTAAAAATATATTCGCCTGTGGAGGACGCGGGGATCGATCCCGCGACCTTTGGCATGGGAAGCGAGGGCGCTACCAACTGCGCTACTCCGCCAGGGCCTGTGGAGGTGTCACGCTCTGGGCTCCTACACTGTGACGTTCAGCCAAAGCCATGAATGAGTTCTATTTGAATAAATGTAAAATAATTTTTTTTTGCCTAAAAAGTGTAAAATTTTGGGAAAAAAATTTCACAAACATTAATTGTCACGCACAACGAGTCTGTGTGGAAAATGTCAGCTCGATTGGATCACGGGAAGTGGGTTAAAAAACGACCGCAACATTTACACGGTCGTAAGCAAGCAAGCGAACTTAATATAAAGGATTTAAATAAGTATAACCCGTAAAAACAAAGTTTTTCACTCTAAATCCTTTATATGCGTGGCGGCTAGAGTCCTCTCGTCCTCTGGCTTGAGATGGCTGCCACCTATGGGTCAGATGATTGTCTGCCAGTATTAAGCAATTAGTAATTAAATATTTAATTTGTTTTCCCTAAACAGTGTCAAATTTTGGATTTTTTTTCACGAACATTAATTGTCTCGCACAACGAGTCTGTGTGCAAAATGTCAGCTCGATTGGATCACGGGAAGTGGGTTAATAAACGACCGAAAGGTTTGCACGGTCGTAAGCAAGCAAGCAAGCACGCAAGCGAACTTAATATAAAGGATTTAAAAATCATTTTCCGGTCCTCAGCCCCAGACAGCTCCGTTTGAAATGAAGCCCCGACTACACGCAGGAGTGACTTTGTTCAGGCAGCGGCCGACGGCGGCGCCCGTTCGCGCAGTGTGCTTTGATTTGGTTTAATTGGCGGCTCGGGGTTTCCTGTCTCGGCCCCGTAATGAGCGAGGCTGTTTGACCTTAAGAGGGGTAATTTGAGAGTTCCCCGCGTGTGGATTTGCGTGTAATGACTCTCAGGGCTCTGCTGAACGCGGCGTTTGACTCCTTCAAAGCGAGACCAGGCGAGGCGGGCAGAGAACACACTAGACTCAGCCATGCATATACATGCATGGTTTACGAGAGCGAGAAGGATACTGCCACAGTGGTACAACGGTCAGCGCACTGGACTTGTAGTCAAGAGGTCGCTGGTTTAATTGCCATCTTCCGGCGCGGTAAGTGAAAAAGAATGGGCAACTTTCTTAAATCCTCTTTCCACCGAGAAGCAGAATTGGGTACACCGCGGTTAGTCGATTGGCAGATCGCCGTGTGGTGGCATCAGGTGTCGGTGGGCACTCCCACCTCTTTCAAGACGTATTGGCCAGCGAAGAAGGGTAAGTCAAAACAAATGCCATAGAGAGGGGCTTGCTATAGTTTTCTATGGAGATGGCGTGAGCAAGACATTGCAGAAATGCGCCGTTACCTTTTTACAAGAGCATGACGTTTTTTTTATTTTTACGCAGACGAATACTTTATAGAACTTTGTCAATACACTGATAGAAATCAGTGCTTCTCTAAGCAATTTTGGTCAGAGTGGTTGCTTGACCATACTTCACCACGCGGGGTGGCCAGTGCGGGTTGGTGGAGGAGGAGTTCAGGGGCAGGACTGGTTCGAATATCACTCGACCCTGATGATAGCCGTGGCCGGGAAAGCCGGGTTCGTAGTGCAGGGCGCTACGAACGATCGACGCACAAAGAGCCGATGACTGGCTTTCACTTTATTCGTTTTGGTCGAATATTACACCGAATATATAAATCGCGTGTGTGTGTGTGCACGTGCGTTAGTGGGGAATGGCGGTGCAGTGGGTAGCTGCCCTACAAATTTGGCGACCCGAGTTCGATTCTCGCTCACGGCCAACACAGACGAATCACGCGTAGCCGATACAAGATCCGCAGTTTCCACGTAACGAGACGCACGTGCAATTACACGCGACGGCCTCCTTACCCAGACGATTAATTCATCCGGAGGATAATTAACCCGCCTTGCATTTGTTCCTTAATCACCCGTCACTGTTCTCCGTGCAGCTGTGGATAGCAGACGTCTTATGGAGAAGGGCTATTAATTATACGGAGTACTACAAACCATTAGGCTAAATAAGTATAAGGTTCCCAGCGGCAGACTGTGCAGAAGTGAGCATTGGTTGCCATACAATACTGATGAGTCCTAATAAGGACGAAACCGATCAACAGTTGTCGAAATCTGTCTTACTGCTGCCTCTCATTGGGTCAAATTTGCTTAAATTATTTGCTTTGGTGACCTAAGACGACAAGAGGACCGCAATGCAGCTCTTCTGGATCTGCCGATGGGTTTTGCATAATGCACAAATGTTGAGTGCATTTTCTACACATTTCTCTGTGTTGTTTCAAACGTAAAAAAGTGGGCTTAGGCAGGACACGTCGCTTGAAGGAGTGAGCGCCACGTGATACGTTGATCAAATCGTAAACATTTCAGCGGAGCGGGTGAAAGGAAGTATGCCTGCAGATCAAAGTGCAGTGTTGGCGTTATGAAGTTTGTCGCTCTCCGATGTATTTCCTGGTTGTACTGCGTGTTGTTCGGCATGATGTCCGACGTTTCGCTCCACATGCTGGGGACGTATTAAGGAACTGAATTACCAGCACGATATGCAAAACGTCGGACATCACGCCGATCAAGACGAGCTAAAATAAAAAAAATAAAACGCCCCGTCGGAGAGCTACATAGCAAAACTGTTAAAACGTACGCAGGAGTATTATCAATCATATTCACTCTTTACGATCCGAGCCCCCTTCACCCCACTTCACTCTATTAACTCGCGCTCTCCTGGCCGTCAACCTCCCCCCACCCCCCATGTCTGAGTCAACCCCCTCCACTTGCACCCACGCACCCCCTTCCCACACGCCTTCTTTTGGCAATTGTTTGTACAACGCAATTCACACAGCGCTAATGCAGTTGTGAGAGATTTAAACGAAATAGACAAGGTCCATTCCAATATCAATATAAAAAAATACAACGGAACGTCTTAGTTAATCCGCCGATGCAATTTCAAGAACAATGTTTTCACCATCAGCAGCAGTTAAGCCGCTTAAAGAAATAATTATGAAAACGATCCGTATAGAAGGTTCATAGGGTGACAGAAACATTAACAGCTATATTAATCATGATCTATCTGCTACTAACGGACCTACACGTGTTCATATTTATGCAGGGAAACAAACTCGAGCAAGATGGAACAAAAGCTCCAACGTACGGAAAGATGCGTGCTTTGAGTTAAACTGAGACACAGACAGAGCAACACGTGGATTCGAGAA